GGTGAGCCATGAAATGATTTTATAGGAAGAAAAATAATTATATTTTCATTCTCATAAGTTTATCATGGAGCAAGACGGGGCAGGAGGCACCACTTGGAGCCAGGCCAGCACACTAGCTAGTTGGTATTTCATATCCACATGGGAGGTGCTCAAGGATGCACAAAGGTGACAGCAGTATGGAAGAGCAGATAGATGGCTAAGGATGTTAAGAGGCACATTCAATAGAACATGGTGACCACTGAACTGGATGGGAGGAGAGCGAAAGATTGGCATTAACTTCAAGCTTTTCATCTGAGTCATATTTTGGCTTACTGTCCCCATGATGGGAGACAAAAGGCAGTCTGTCTGAGCATCATTTTATTTTTATTATTTTCCTGTTTTAAGTGGAGTTGATGGAGATATCTTTCATCTAGTATTGCTTTGAGGAATACACAGGACCTGACTGTTAACCTCGGTAGACTTTGTGATGTTCAAATAAAATGGTACGAAACACCTGACCTTTTGCAAAAATGAATCCTCACCACCACCCTCATGGTCAACTCTGTTCTGTCATTTTTCAAAGTTACAACTTACCTCAGGGCAAGGGCAAAGGCCCCTGTAGGGTGCTTTAGTGTCCTTTTCAGACTGGATCCTGCAGAAGATACAACACATGGTTCTACATAACAGATATGGCTCTGAACAATAGGATCTGTTCAGAGGTGATTAATCAGAAAGGATTTTGTGGGTTTGTTTTGTGCCTGTCTATGTGTGGTGGCGCCCATTCCAGTAGTTTCTACAGTCATCTCTATTCACAACATTCTTCACAGTGTACATGATAGCTTAGTATTGTCTTTCATTGAAGAATTATTGTCTCCTATCTTACCTGCTACTGAGGTTTTCTTCTGTACAGTGTGTGATGTCCCAACACCTGGATGATGAGAGACTGACACACAAGGTAGTATTCTGACTAGGGAATGGAATGCAGTGATGAGGATTACCAGAACTCTTGATATTTGCAAAACTAGGCAAGCGAGATATTGAAGGAGGCGGTTCTGGTAGCAGGAAGTAGGTCCCAGCACCGGGCTGAGATTCACAAGTAAAAATCCCGTCATCGGGTCTATAAAATTAAACAATCCTACAGAAACTGAGGTGCTGCTGAAATTGTAGAGATGTTTTTTGTTTTGTTTTGTTTGTTTGTTTGTTTTGAGAAATTTTCACTGTGGCGCGCGTGCGCTCACCAGACAGACAGAGAGAGACATAGAGACAGAAAGCGAGAAATCACCCCCCAGGGGGGATGGTCACGCCGCAATCCCTTCTCCTCCATTCTCCTCTCGGGATCTTGGGCACGCACGCACACGCGCCCGGCGTGAGTTTTAAGCCACCGGGTCCAGGACACGAACCGCGGTCGACTACGTGGGAATCCAGCGACATAGCCATTACGCTAACTGCTGGTTCCCAAAATTGTAGAGATGTTTTAAGTCAAGAAGCTCTGCAGGTGCAAGGCTGATGGGTAAGCAGCAGAGGATGCCTTATTGCAGAGTGAGAGAAGAATTCATTCCTGACAGATAAGAATTGGTTCAAGGACAGGGCCAGGCTGTCTGTGGCCGGAGATTGGGTGACAGACATCTCAGAACTCACTGGGAAGTGAAGTGGATGCTTCTAGGAGAGGAGTGAAGCCATGTGGTTCTGTCTTGTGCCTCCCAGAGCCATTTACTCTCCTGCTGCCCCAGCCTCCATTCTCAGCTATCACACATCTTTTCAGACTTGGTCATTTTTGTATTTTTGGGTTGTTTTGTTTGCTTTTGAGTCAGAAATCATCTGTCAGTTGAGAGAGAAAGTAGACCAAAGTTCTTGTTTAGTTCAAAATTCAGGGCCATGGTGGTGAAGGCACTGGGTTCCCACATGGTCAAATGTAATTCAATTCCCAAACCCAGTGGCTTGAAAATCACTCTAGGCACGTGTATATGTGTACCCAAAATCTCAAGAGGAGAAAGGAGGAGGAGGGATTGCAGTGGCCATCCCCCTTGGGAGGAGATTTCTCATTTTCCCTCTCTCTGTCTCTGTCTCTCTCACTCCAGTGAGCACACAGACCCTATGGCAAACAAACAAACAAACAAACAAAAGTTTAAAAATCTCTTTTTCTTTTTTCTTTTTTTAATTTGCTGTAGTGTATGTACTCACTGGAGAGGGACAGAAAACGAGAGAGTGAGGGAAAGTGAGAAAGTACCCTCATGAGGCATATCCATATTGCAATCTCTTCTCCATTCTTGTCTTGGGATTTGGGGCACACATCCACAGGCACCTAGTGTGTTTTTAAAGCTGCTGGACCTGGGACTGAACTTTTCCATTGCCAGCTGCCTTAACCACCACATCACTGACTGGCCCTAAAAACCCATCTTAATGTTTTTGAATAAAAACTACCTCCTGCGGGGGCCAGTTGATGGCACTTTGGGAAGGTTCTGGGTTCAGGTCCAGAGACCTCCCTGAGGTCTCCCCGACACACATGTACCCATTGTCTGAGCCTTGCTGAGGTTGAAGGGGTAGACTGTGGTATTAGGACCTTGTGCAGGTATTCTTTTTCTCTCAGAATAAATACATAAATAAATAAACTTTTTTTAAAAAAGGAAACTGCCTCCTTTAACATAAGATGTAGAACTTCTGGGCCATCTTATCAGTTCTGGAAGAAGGAAATGTTATCAGAGCTTGATCATGATTTTAGAAACAGATTATGAACTCTTATACTTTAAATGAACATGTCACCAGCAGTTAAAAGCCAGTTATGTTGTTTATCCATTCATAATGGTTGTGTATGGGAATATAATTTTGGTCATCTGCTTGTTTTGTGGGAATTTCTTGGCCAAAGAGTTTTTCTCTTGCAGACCTTAAATTAATTATTGGCTTCTGTTTGTAAAACCTTGATTACATAATTCAAAATACCAAGAGCTGAACATTGATCACAGTGGTTTTTCAAGTATGGTTGCTTTTATTTCATGCACAAGATTGTATAAGCAATGATTACTAATCAATTACAGAGGTTTCTTAGCCAGCCCTCTGCAGGTGAGAATTTTTCCTTTAATTGTTCCAAACAAAGTGGACTGCTACTTCTCATCCCCTACCACATCTTAACGTAACCTTATCACAGTGTAGCACAGGTGGTTAGTGCATTGCTTTATACCAAAGCCATGCGAGAACGCTCTGGTTTCAGTTCTCCAGGTTGACCAGAGCACATTGGGTGTACTTGTAGGTGATCCTGGCTGGCTGGAAGGTGAAGTGATATTACAAGACCCTGTCAGAAATCTTTTTCTTTCTCTTTCTCTGTCTTTCTGTCTCTATTGCTATCTCCCTCCTTCTCAATAAAATAAATAAGGTTTAAAAAGAAATTATCATTTACTGGGCCAGCCCCCATAGCCTAGTGGTTAAGGGAGCTGGATCACACATGGCTGATTCTGGTTTGAATCCTGGCCCCAGTGGCTTGGAAAACACCTTGGGTGTATGTGCATGTATGTCCAAAATTCCAACAGGATGGAGAAATGGAGGAAAAGGGATTGTGGCATGACCATGCCCTGTTGGGGGTGCTTTCTCATTTTCTTTCTCTTCCTCCACTCTACCCACCATGAGCTCACGCACCCAATGGCAATTAAGAAAAAAAAAGAAAAAGAAAAAGAAAAACAAAAACCTATATACTAAGATTAGAAGAAAGTCACACTGCTTATAAATGAAATGCAGTTATTTTGCAAGTTAATTGATTTAAATATGTAAAAGGTGATTTAAGTTCTTTCTTTTTTGCTTCCTTCAAAAAAACTAGATGTTGCCAAATAGTTACTGTTATAATAACTTCATCTCCATTCTTCCTCCAAGAAAAGCAAAATTTTGTCTCACCTTGTGCAGAAAACAGCATTTCAAATGAAAAACATCTGATTCTCTAAGGTCAAAACAAATAACCATCTATATTTCCCAATTCATACTGAACTTAGTTCACTTCTTATATTGATGCCAGACCTTTCAGACAGCTTCACAGAGCATGATAGGCACTTGCAGATCCCCTTAACAAAAAGCATTTCTGATGCTGGCTTGTTCTGGACCATCACATCTTGTCGTTTCTTTCATAGATGAAAGAAATCAGGTTTAGAAAGGATAAGTGTAATCGTCTGCGATCCCACCCATGGTAAATGACAAGAACTCTGAGTTCTAGTCTTAGTGGCCAAAGTTATTTCAAAACACTGGAGAATAGCTATGTGGGGAGTGGGGAGGGTGTGCGGGGAGGAGTTGGAAAGAGGATCCAGGATCCAGAGCACAGTCACATAGCCAAAACAGATGCAAGGGAATCTGAGAAGTGTGGTATTTTGGCTGGATACTTTATTTCCCTGAATAGAATGAATATTCTTTTACTAAGAATGAATGGGAGGAGGAATACTGAGTGAACAATTAGCAATTTCTGTTACAGTTAAGGATTTCTGTCTTTCTAACACATGCACACATGTGATATAGGCACACATGTAGAGTATGTAGAGCTTCGTTTGTGATTGTTCTTCAGCCACTTCTGTACTTATCAACCTAACCAGGCCAAGAGGAGGAACAGTGCCAGATTTTTTTCCTTCTCTCTTATTCTCCTGTTCAAATAGTGAATGCTAAAGTCAACATTTCTCCTACTGAGCATGCCATGGGAGGGAACATGATTGAGTTTACACATAGCAAAGCAATGGGTCTTTTTCAGTGAGTCCAATATAATGTGATTGGAGATTTAACTTGTCCTGACCTATCTGGCATGATTCTATTTCTGTGTCTCTATACTTTTAATTCATATTCCCGCCTCAAAATGGCATGCTTAGGCTCTCACGTATTTCCTTTAATACTGACAGTTTATACACAGCGTTTCTTACTCACTTTAGATCACCATGGGAAACAATAAAATAAGGTCTGAACAATAACAAAGGCTAGAAATTGGATCAGCATATTTGCTGTTATAAAAAATTAATTGAACTCATTTTCACTTTTTTCACCTTTGCCCACCTTCTCCACAGGTTGTACATTGATGGTCCATTTGGAAGTCCATTTGAGGAATCACTCAACTATGAGGTTAGCCTCTGCGTGGCTGGAGGCATTGGAGTAACTCCCTTCGCATCAATACTCAACACCCTGCTGTATGTCATTTTGATCCATTTTATTAGTCCAAACAGAGAACTGCCAATATTTCAGACATCTCTCTGTTTAGTGAAATAGTTCATTACAGAATTCTTCTACTCATTTTTTAAGAAGTTCCATTTATTGACTGATGAAGGGAATAACTCAGTAATTCTCAACATGTGGTCTGTGGTTCCCAACTTGTTCTCTGAGAAAAATATGTTGGATCAGCAGGTGGTGTGGTGGTTAAGGCGTTGTACTCACACATGGCCAACTATGATTTAAGTCTCGGACCTGGTTGTGCTCGCTCTCGTTCCCTCTCTCTTTCTCTTTCATGCATGCACATGCCCTATGGCAAATTTTAAAATAATAATAATGAATATAATTTAAAAAGTAATTCTTATAAAAAAGGAAAAGAAAACAATCTGTCAGTATTGCAGTTATACATTGCTCTGTCATGCTCCTCTGTTAAAGTCCTTCACCACCCTTCATTTCTCTACTTCCTCATCAGTAGTAAGTGGCCCTACACATAATTCAGTCAACACACTTGTTTTGTTTTGAGCATTCATGTGCCAATCAATCTTATAGGTATTGGAAATACAGTAGTGAATGAAAACAGAATCCCTGTCCTTGCACATTCAAGGGCCAGCCCATGGTATGGTAGATAAGGCAGCTGGATCCTACATGACCAACTGCTCAGTTCAAGTCCCAGACTTGACAGCTTGGGAAATACACTGGGCTTGTGTGCATGCATACCCAAAATCCCAAGAGGAGAATGGAAGAGAGGGGATTGTGGCATGGCCACCTCCCCTGAGGGTCCTTTCTTACTTTCTCTCTCTCTCCAGTAATTGCTTGTACCCTATGGCAAACTAAAATAAATAAATAGAAGAAGCTGTTAGCTTTATATTTTAAGAAATTGTACATTCAAAAGGGGCAGGTAAAAAATGAGAAATTCATAAATAGAATTTTTTAAATATTAGAAATATGACAAAAAATACAAATTAATAGGATATAGAAATAAAAAGCTGGGATTAATGTAGAAGTATTCAGGGAAAACTTTTCAGGGATGATGACAAATGAACACATCATTCCTTGGGTTATTACTCAGAAAATTTAAAACAGAGTGAAGAAAATAAATTTCAAAGGTAAGATCACTTAACCAGGAAATACCATTTCAATTATTTTAGTTCCTGAATTATATGTAAAAGTTAATTGCTTGATATTAATTTTCTTGAGAACACAACACAATGACAGCAGGAAGTTACTTTCAAATGTATTCCATTCACTTTTTAAGTACACACAATTTGTATTAAAAATTTGTTTTATGGAATACCAAAAGAGAAACAAGTTGAAGTGAATGATATTATATTTCAGTTCTTAATATCACTGTAAATTTGGAAGTTTTCTGAGGTTCTCAAAAAATATGACCATATTCTAAGCCAGAAATCATTTGTTTCTGACAACACATTGCAAGATATTTGGACACCTAATATTATAAGAAAGGAAGAACAGTTTCTTAACCTCAATCCTACTTCATAATTATAAATACGAATCCAGACTTGGAATTATGAGTTGCTGGAATGTATTACATAGTGGATGGTTGTGAAATCTCTTTCCTTACTGATTATTAAGAAGGGGATAAACAACCAACTTTCTGGAATGGTTTTGGCTCATTTTGCCTAGAAGCCAGGGTAAGACCCAATGACCTTGGAAGCCCTGCTCCGTGATAGAATTCACTGAAAATAGAGAACTTGTGTTTTTGAGATACAAGAGCCAATCTTATTCTGATCCAGGAGTTCAACTTACGGCCTTCAACTTGAAATAGATACCATGCATATGATATTCACAAGTATAGACACCCACATTCATCAAGTATGTCATGTCTTTGAGTCTATATATTGTATATCAAATACATTTGAGAATTAAAGGCTGTCTAAGATGCTAGAATGTGTGTACACACACACACATGCATACATGCATTGCCATCCTAATCACCACTATGTTATTTTCATTTTAAAGGGATGACTGGAAACCATACAAGCTTAGAAGACTGTACTTTATTTGGGTGTGCAGAGATATCCAATCCTTCCGTTGGTTTGCAGACTTACTCTGTGTGTTGCATAACAAGGTAACAGTAGGATTGTTTTCAGTTTTGCAATTTTTAAGTTAAAAAAGTTATTTTCTTTCATACTACCCAAGCTATAAATGTTTATATAAAATAAAGTACTTATCTGCATTGCAATGTGACAAGGAAAGAAAAAAGTTCTTAAACTTAGTAAAACAGCAGAGGTAATGTCTGTTAACAATTACGTATAGTTTTTTTTTTTTTCAGACATGGCTATTTGGGAGCACATGTGTAGATCTGTGATATATTTTAGCGTAGAAACATTCACTTTTACATTTCACCCTAAGATATGTAACACAGAAATGCATGTATATGGCTGGAAGTAGGAAAGATGATGGAAGGAGACATCAGCAGATACTTGGTTCAGTATCATCCAAGCTTTGTTCCAACAATTCTTGTCCCTTACCCACACCTTCAGTACCCCAAATGGAGCCATCCCAGACATCTTGGTACACTATGAAGAATGTCAAAATCCCCAATTCTGTTTGATTTTTTTGCAGAGATAAAAGCAGATGTTCTTTATCTATCCTACTCTAACATTGAATTTCTTATTTGTCTATGTCTTTAAATTATACAAGTAATACAAATGTGTATCTTTTGCTAAAATTATTTCAAACAATGAAGTAGCATCTTTCACTATGTTCTCCACCCAATTTATGTAATAAGAGGTCACTCCTAAGTGTTCTACAAATTCTATCATACTATTTATATTGTTCTGAAAAAAAAAATTAGCTTAATACTATGTCTTGGGTTTTTTGTTTGTTTGTTTTTGTATTAGTCCATAGAGAGCTGCTTCATTTTTTTTTCTGCTATAGCATATTTCCTGGCATGGATATATCTGTTGTATGTAATACTTTTCTGATATTGGGTACTTAATGTTTTATTTCAAAGATTACCTGCAATGAATATCACTATATATGTATGTGTATTTATTTAGACAGTCAATCATTCCATGATTTAGCAAATATTCATTAACTGCTTACTGTGAATCAGGAACTGTTCTAGGAGATGGCAATATGTCAGATAATTAAATAGAAAAACAAGTTTCTATTTCATGTGGTTTACAATTTTAGTGGGGAAGATAGACAACAAACTCATACATACTTATGTGTTTCTGAGGTTTGATTAGGACACGGAAGGAAAGGAATATAGGGGTAAACAATAAGGGCATGTTATTATAGTTTATATTGCATGTTTATGAATGCCCACCAAATAAAATACTGTCTGAGTAAAGATTTGAGTAAAGTGAGCAAGCAGACTGGGTCCATAGATTCTGGGTGAGTGGAGCAGGAGGAATGACTGGGCTTTAAGGTAGAGGAACCTGATTCCAGGGCTCTGATGCAGTATTACACTTTGTGTGTTGAAAAAAGGAGGTTTGTATGATAAAGTCAGCAAGGGGAAGAATGGCAGAGAGGCACTTGGAGAGGTGGGGTACGTGCCTTTCTAGAGAGAGGTAGGTTATATAAGACCTTTGGGCTTTATGCAAATAAAACCAGTTGGATTCTGGGTATATGCTTAGAATAGCTGAAAGCAGGGAATCCTCCAGATATTGGTACACTAATGGTCCTAGAAACATTATTCACAATAGTCAAAAGATACAAACAACCTAAATGCCCATTGATGAGTGGATAAGCAAAATATTGTATACTCATGTAGTAGGATATACTGTTAAGACTTAAAAAGAAAAATTCTGATACATGCTACAACATAGACGAACCTTGGAGACATGCTAAGTGAATTAAGCCAGATGACAAAAGGATAAATATTGTGTGATTCCTCTTATAGGAAGTACTGAGAGAATAATTCATAGAGACACAAAGTATTAGCTTGGTGCAAAAGTAATTGCAATTTTACCTTGTTTAAATTTGCTGTTTTATATTGGATACATTCTTAAATAAATGCAGTTATGTCATGTATCATTTTAATGTACACTTCTAGCTTTATGTTTCTGGTTGGTTTTTTTTGTTTTGTTTTTTTTTTGTTTTTTTTTGAGAATGCCTTGTTGCTTGCTGTTTGTTTTATATGTATTTTAGACTATGGAAATGATGTCAGACCAAAAGTAAGTCTGAGTGATTTTCTTATTAGAGTTCAAAATGGTTGTAGAGCAGCAGAGACAACTCATGATATCCAACGTGCATTAACTCAGGAACTGCTAATAATCACACAGTGCAGTGGAGGGTCAAGAAGTTTTGGAAAGGAGACAAGAGCCTTAAAGATGAGGAGCATCATGGCCAGCCATCGGAAGTTGGGAATGACCAATTGAGAGCAATCATTGAAACTGATCCTCTTAAAACTACATGAGAAGCTGCTATGGTCATTCAACATTTGAAACAAATTGCAAATGTGAAAGGCTTGATAAGTGGATGCCTCAGGAGCTGACCGAAAATCAAAACAATTGCTGTTTTGAAGTGTTGTCTTATTCTATGCGACAGGAATATTTCTCAACTGGATTGTGTCATGAGAGAGAGTGGATTTTATAGGATAACAAGGTTGGTCATTGGACCAAGAAGCTCCAAAAGCACTTTCCAAAGCTAAACAAAGTAAAACGAGTTGGGCTACAATGTTTTGCCTCATCATCATGTTCATTTGAGCTCTCGCCATCGGACCACCACTCCTTCAAGCACCTTGACAGCCTTTTACTGGGAAAATGCTTCCATGAGCAGCAGGATGCAGAAGATGCTTTCAAGAATCTATTGAATCCTGAAGCATGGATTTTTACCCTACAGCAATAAACACTTTTATTTCTCATTAACAAAAATTTGATGATTGTAATGGCTCCTATGTTGATGAGTAAAGATGTGTTTGAGCCGAGTTATAAGGATTTAAAATTCACAGTCCAAAACCACAATTGCTTTTGTGCCAACCTAATAGAACAACAGTTGCCAGTGCCTTGGGGGGAAACTGTAAAGAGGAGTTGGAGTTCTATGTTTTTTCCAGACTTTTTATTTTTACAGTTGTATTTCTTGCCTCATACCTTTTTGTGCCAGGGAAACCAGTACTGAGTAGGGGACAACAAGAACAGGAAATATAAGTCCATTGTTTGTTTTTTCTTCTGGTTTAATTTATTTTGTATCTTCTAGCAGGCATGTCCTGTATCACTGTCGCCTTTTTTTTTTTTTAAGAAAATCATGTTCATAATGAATATACTCATAAGTAAAATGTAGAAACTCTTAGGAAATATTTGAAAAAATTCAGGGAAAATGTTACTATTGGGTCTAGCATGCTAGAATTTGTATCAGAGAATTATTTCTTTCTACCACCACCATATCTAATATATGCCAGTATAGTAGGTTATCAATGTTAGAATATGCTTGGAGATGTTACTGTAATAAGCCGAGATATGTGTTAAATTCCGGAATTACATATGTTAGACTAGGAGGAAATCTGAGTGTACAGGAAGAATTTTAATACATCTATTTATTTTAATATCCTCTCAGTTTTGGCAAGAGAACAGACCTGACTATGTCAACATCCAGCTGTACCTCAGTCAGACAGATGGGATACAGGTATGTGGCTCGATGTTATTGCAAATTAAACAAGTCTCTCGACAATAGAAGATTTACTATAGGAGCTGTGCTGGAAGAAAATTTCTGCAGGTGGTTTGAACAGAAGTTTCCTACAGGAAAGCCTTTCTTGGAATATGTCCAGAAAAGTCATGGCTTATCCTTGAAGTCAAATATTGTATCTTTCATTTGTCCTCTTCACAGGGACTTAGAACAGGTTTCTCAAGTCTATCTCTCCCTTCTTCACTGTTACCAGGATTCTTCTTCTTCTTTTTTTTTATTTAAAAAATTTCAGTTTTTCACTGAATACTAAGTACTGCATGATATACTCAAACTATAAATTATTATTGAGATAAAAATAAATTCTCTCCATTCAGACAAGATGCTTAAGATACTAGTACTACAGGGACCACCAGTTGGCATAATGGCTATGTTGCTGAACTCCCATGTAGTCAACCGCTGTTCAAGTCCCGGACCCGGTGGCTTAAACTCACACTGGGAGTGTGTGCATGCATGCCCAAGATCCCAAGAGGAGAATGGAGGAGAAGGGATTGTGGCATGGCCATCTCCTCTGGGGTGATTTCTCCCTTTCTGTCTCTCTGTCTCTCTCTGTCTTTCTGATAAGTGCACACACTCCATAGCAAAAAGTTCTAAAAAATAAATAAAAATACTAGTTCTACAGAATTTCTCTTCCAAAAAAAGGAGCAGGATTTATTTATCAAGCCTAGTCCCTACAGAAAGCAGATTTCTCAACAAAGCGAGCATGAAGCCTTAATGCCCTAAGGTATTCTCCATATGGAATGAATGACCTCATGCGTGTGGTATTGTAAGGAAAGTAAGAATCAGTCACTTCTATCATTTCCTGTGCTCTGCCTTCAGAGGAGGAGTCCCAGCTAAGAAAGGCTGTCAGAAGAATGTGACTTCATAGCTAATTGCTAATTTGGTTTTATGGGGAGGAGTTCATCACCATTTAACTTTGGAGCACAGCAGTTATTCTATGCAACTAGAGCTCCAACTGGTGTTCAGACTGCTCCAACTGGTCACCCCAGGATCTTTACCTCTAGAGATCAGGTTATAGGGGCCAACAGGTGGCATGTTGGTTAAGGCACTGGACTCCCACATGGTCAACCATGGTTTGAGTCCTGGACCTGTAAGCTTGAGAATCTCACACAGTGCATGCTTGCCCAAAATCCCAGGTGGAGAATGGAAGAAAAGATTGCTATATGACCATCCCCCTGGAGAGTGATTTCTCACTTTTCCCCTCTCTGTCTTTGTCTCTCTCTCTCTATTTTTTTTTGTTTGTTTTTTGTTTGTTTGTTTTTGTTTTTGTTTTTGTTTTGAGAGGCTTTTGCTATAGGGTATGTGCCCTCGCCAGAAAGACAGAAAGAGATAGAGAGACAGAAAGCAAGAAATCACCCTGCAGGAGGAATGGCCACGCCACAATCCCTTTACCTCCATTCTCCTCTCAGGATCTTGGGCACACACGCACACGTGCCCAGCGTGAGTTTAAGCCACTGGGTCTGAGACTTGAACCGCAGTTGGCTACGTGGGAGTCCAGCAACATAGCCATTACGCTGACTGCTGATCCCTTTCTTTGTCTCTGTTAGGTGAGAACACACGCCCCGGAGCAAAAACCAAAATAATAATAATCAGGCTCTAAGTGAAAAGCCTTAGAATATTTTTAAATTGGGGAGAGATTTTTATGTGGAGAGAGAAGATGAATTCATAAGTAACTAAACCTATTTCTCTTAAATATAAACTAAAGATACGATAATAGCCATCGTGTTTTATTTATTTACTGGGCTAGAACCTGTGCTAAGAATTTCACATGTATATTCATGCAATCCCAACAGATTTAAGAAGTAGATGCTATTACCCTCTCCGTTTTGCAGATGAAGAAATTACATTTAGAGAGAACATTGAAGAGGTAGATAAATCTGGGCGTGAATGCTTTCAAAAGTTTTTATTACACATTTTTATAGTACTTTGAATGCAAAATATAAAAGCTTATCAGTTACCTCAATACTAATGTAAGTAGTTTTTCTAGTCAACTTTCTATCCTATTTAGTAAGTAAAAAATTTTATTTCACTACTTTCATGAAGTGAATATATATATATATATTTTTTTTTTTTTCCCCTCATGGTATCTCTAAGATTAAGGCACAGAACATGAATTACATTTGGTTCTTAGCTTGTTTTATTGGGTCTTGAACATTTTCTCTTTTCACTTCACTCTGACACTTCACCATCTCTTCAGATCTAATGTTCTGTAAATTGCGAACACCTGCCCACTAATAAATGTTTGTTGATAATCCCAAGTTTGAAACCCTGCCAACTTGGGCTGTCTTAACTAGAAATATTTCCTCAGATTTATGATGATAGTTTGTAGTATTTTCCTGATGTAATGAGTCCAGGATGACAACTGTATTTGTGGTGTAAAAATACTTCAGTGAAGTTGATGTGCTCCTTTTTGGGAGTGAGCAATTAGAATGTATTCTTTGTCTGATATTGTGGTTCCTTAGACATAGAGCAACTAACTGGGATGTAGGAAAGTCTGCCTTTTGTAAAGAGGGCATTGAAGGAGATCATGGATTTTAAAAGAAAAGAGGAAGGAAATGATATTTCAAAATGATCGTACTTAATAGGTTGTCATTTGACACTTGTATTCTTTATATCATAGTAATTTTGTAGGAAGCCACAGCACCAGCCAAAATGTTGTTAGAGAAATGGATCTTTTATTCAAATCTGTGAATCGTGTAAAATATAGTACTTTTTTTTGGCAGAAGATAATTGGAGAAAAATATCATGCACTGAATTCAAGACTTTTTATTGGACGTCCTCAGTGGAAACTTCTGTTTGATGAAATAGCGAAATGTAACAGAGGGTAAGCTCTATATCTGAAAATATTTGACATGCGGTTAATGATCAGATGAAATGTTCCCAAATCATCATGAAGTTTGTTTTTTAAAAATTGATAGCGATGAGAACAGCAATTGACACAATGGCTATGATGCTGGACTCCCATGTAGTCAACTGCGGTTCGAGTCCCGGACCTGGTGGCTTAAACTCACATGTGCATGCGTGCCCAAGATGCTGAAAAGAGAATGGAGGAGAAGGCATTGTGGCATGGTCATCCCCCCTGGGGGGTGATTTCTCACTTTCTATCTATCTGTCTGTCTTTGTCTTTCTGGAGAGCACACATGCCCTATAGCAAAAACTCTCCAAAAACAAAAAATCATGATAGTGAGTACCTGCATGTACGAGAGAGAGAGAGAGAGAGAGAGATTGAGAAAAAAAGCACTTTCAATAGTCTCAACACACTGCAATTTCCTTTCCTCAGTTAATCCATGTCTCTTGTGTTTTTAAGCCAACCTCAGAGACCCACAGTTGTCCATGGACTTCTAGAACTGCAGTTCAGTTTGCTACTGTCTGTTCACCAGGTTGGGCCACACAAAGTTTCCAAAAATGAATTAGTAATGGATTCACAAATTACAAAAATCACTCAAACATATCACTATCAAAGGAGGAAACAGGCTATATGTCTGTAATGTTAACCAAAATTTGGCTTAGAAATATTCCCTAATGTATTTATGAATGAGACTCTCCATACTGTTTCAATTTGTGTAAACTCGTTTTGAAGAGGATATTCATTCCCACAGCATATATCAAGTGGTCATGAGAAAAGTTTTTCAAAATCTTATTGGTAAGTGAGAAGGCTTCATGAATAGTTCTGAAAATGAAGACATTTAAAAATCAAAAATTCAATGTATTTACCAGAATGAGTACGTTAACAAACAAATAAAAAGGTTTTCCTTATAATATGCCATCTCTGTAACAGATATTTCCAAACATGATTTTTTTAAAAATATTTTTTAAAGAATTATTTTATTTAACTTTATTTATTGTAATTTGACCACAGAAGGACAGAGTGAGAGAGAGATGGAAAGTGAGAAAAAAGGCACCAGATCCGGGACTCAAACTGTGGTTGACCATGTGGGAGTCCAGCACCCTTAGCCTCTATGCCACCTTCGAGCCCCCAAACATGATTATTCTTCTTGGAAACTATAATTATATAATGAACCTTAAGATTATGGGCTATGTGTCTATTATCTGAAGAAGTTACATTGAAGGAAATTCATTCATTTTAGGGCACAGGTCAGCAGCCCATTTATCTTCTCTAAATGTCCCACAGCGCAGAGCAATGATCTGTAAGAATTAAAAAAACGGTTTTGAGGGACCACCAGATGATATAATGTTTATGTCACTGGACTCCCATGTAGTCGACCATGGTTTGGGTCCTGGATCTGGCAGCTTAAAACTCACTCCAGGTGCGTGTGCATGCATCCCCAAGATCCTGAGAGGAGAATGGAGCAGAAGGGATTGCACCATGACCATCTGCCCTTGGGAGTGATTTCTTGCTTTCTGTCTCTCTGTCTCTATCTCTCTGGCGAGTGCATATGCCCTATAGCAAAACCCTCTCTAAAAACAAAACAAAACAACAACAACAACAAAAAACAAAAGTAGTAATTTCTTTTTTTTTGGAGAGGTTTTCGCTATAGGGCGTGTGCGCTCGCCAGACAGACAGAGAGAGACAGAGAGACAGAAAGTGAGAAATCACCCCCCAGAAGGGATGGTCACGCCGCAATCCCTTCTCCTCCTTTCTCCTCTCGGGATCTTGGACATGCACGCACACGCGCCCGGCTTGAGTTTTAAGCCACCGGATCCGGGACGTGAACCACGGTCGACTACGTGGGAGTCCAGCGACATAGCCATTACGCTAACTGCTCGTTCCCAAGAGTAGTAATTTCATCATAAGTTTAAATACTTGTAAAGGATGCAAGTTCAACCTATTGCAGATATTGACAGTATACAGTTAATTTATTTTTATGGAGAGGTTTATTTGCTATAGGGCGCGTGTGCTCAATGGAAAGACAGAGAGACAGAAAGCGAGAAATCACCCCCCCAGGGGGGATGGGCACACCTCAATCCCTTCTCCTCCATTCTCCTCTCGGGATCTTGGGCACGGCATGAGTTTAAGCCACCGGGTCTGGGACTCGAACCGTGGTTGACTACGTGGGAGTCCAGCCACATAGCCATTACACTAACTGCTGGTCCCAATATACAGTTAATTTCTATAGAAATATCTGCTGGAATAAAAATATGGTAGTTACTTGATACCAACCTCAGTTTTTATAAAGATACACAAATAAGCTCTTCATTAGCAATTGGGAAATTTACATCATTCTTTTTTTTTTTTTTTCCCACTGCTTTTGAGTTTCCATTCTTTAAACTCAAAACTTTTCAAAATCTGATGTGTGTGTGTGTGTATGTGTGTGTGTGTGTGTGTGTGTGTGTGTGTGTGTGTGTGTGTGTATTTGGCTATAGGGTGTGTACACTTGAGAGAAAGAGAGAGAAAATGAGGTATTACCTCCCAGAGGAGATGGGCATGTCACAATCCCTTCTCCTCCATTCTCTTCTCAGGATTTTGGGTATGCATACACGTATACCAATATTTTTTTCAAGCCACCAGGTCTAGGACTTGAACTGCAGAGCTGGCCATATGGGATCCAGTACCTTAAGCACCACACTACCTACTTGCCCAAGTTCAGTATTTATTTTTACATTTGAGGGAATAATGTTTCTACTGTTAAATTAATCATACTTTCATAACAAGAACGTACATTGAATATTTAATTTTTAAAATGTCCTGTGAACATAAGGCTCTAGTATTTTTTTTTCTTCTGGATTAAATTATCATTGTTATACATGGAAAGAATATTGTATGCATCAGAAGAACATTGTATACATCAAAAAATATTTGATTCTATTGGGTTGTCAAAAAAGTCATGACCTGTTTTTTCTGTTTTTCTATGCAATAATTTGTCATGACTTTTTTGAAAATGCAATAAATATATGGACCAGCTTATTGAATTAAAAAATCATTTATTAATATTATTTATTGAAACATTCACTGATTCAAGATAGCCCTTGGCTCTGTCTTCAGAAATTTTGTTATAGAAGCTATAGAGTCAAGACCAAGAAGCGGAATTTAAAAAGGGACATAGTTAACCATGTGGTTCGGATGTCAGCCATTTTTGAAACCACCTCTATGGTATTTTCCTTCTCTTCATGAGGTAATTTTAGAATGAAGAGAGAAGCATTATTATTATTATTATTATTATTATTATTATTATTATTTGGAGAGGTTTTTGCTATAGGGTGCATGCGCTTGCCAGACAGACAGACAGAGAGATAGAGAGAAATCACCCCCCAGGGAGGATGGCCACGCCGCAATCCCTTTTCCTCCATTCTCCTTTCGGTATCTTGGGCACACACGCATACACACTTGGCATGAGTTTTAAGCCACCGAGTCCAGGACGCAAACCACGGTCGACTACATGGGTGTCCAACGACATAGCCATTAAGCTAACTGCTGGTCCTGAGAGAAGCATTATTTACAAAGCAGAAATCCTTTGGGGTCCTATTTAAAGATGAGCTATAGGTAAAAACATGTCAATCCAGTTCTGGCCATATTCTATTCCCATCTTTATCCGATATTGCCCACCTTAGATTTGATTTGATAATGTTGTCCTGCTCACCTGGCTCTTCTTGCTATGCACCACAGACATGTTCCTCCTTGATGGCATTAACGACCTCCAATAAGAACACTTTCTTTCTTTGGTTTTCATAATCTATGGCCAAAAGCTTTGAATATTTCTTTTGTTCAATTTTAAAGCCAAACCAAAATAATGGAGACAATTGATTTCAAATTGTTGGTTCTTTTGTTCTTAAGAATTCCATTTATTTGTACTGTACATGTTTTAGAGTGATTTTGTATGTTTATTGGTTTTTCTTTTTCTGAAACAACAAAGCTGGTTTAAGAAGCACAAAAGTGCACCATCTACTGTTGACATTTTGTAGGCTACTTTCTCTTTTTGTGTTTGCTCTGGGACAGGAACCTGAGTACATTATGTTTTTAAGGGTTTTTATACAGCACACTTAAGAAAAGAATGAATCAACATATTAAGGATTCATTAACTGGATAAAAGGCTCTACATAAATGGGAGGTTTTATATGAGATGTGACATTTTGGTTAACCTCATGCAAATAAATTACTGAAAGAATGTACAGAGATAAAAATAGAAAAGAGGCATACAAATTATTTTTTAATACACTATGTGAAACACTGATTTTCAATTGTCAGAAAGTGCTTATTTATTGAACCAGTAGGCATTCATTTACTACAGTTCGTAGAATTCAAATTTAATTGGATTAAACACTCCTGGGCCCAACAGTAATAGTTGAGAACTCATGTTTTCTTACAGAAGCTTTTATAAGTGTATGAGGGAACTTGAAAAAGTTTGTGGAAAATGGAATTACAAGATTAATTTCAAAATCAATACATAGTAATGCTTTCATACTAAGCATTTCCACTAAGTTTCTTTTAAGAATTATTTATTTAATTTTATTTGTTATTATTTTTAAGTATACCAAAGAAAGGCAGAGAGAGAAAGGGAAAGTAAGCAAGCAAGCTGCCAGATCTGGGACTCAGACTGTCGTTGGCCGTGTGGGATTCCAGCACCTTAACCACTCTTCTGCCTGCTGGCCCCTCCACTAAGTTTTTGAAGACCCCTGTGTATCTGTATTTATAAAAGTATATGTAAACTTTTTTGTATACATAAGTATGTATACATGTATGTGCATATATATGCATATGTATTTATAATATGAACATTTGTATTTTAACAAAAATTGAATAAATCTGTAATACTTCATTCTTCAACTTACTTTTTTTTTAGTTTTTTGCCTTATGCCATGTGTGCTCACCAAAGAGACAGAGAGACAGAGACAATGAGAGAGAAAGTGAGAAATCATCTCTGGAGT